TAATAGAAATGAACCACAAACTGAGGTTTCTAAGTAATAACATGTAAGGATTTTCCATAAGAATATATATATATATNAATAAATGAAGTAAATTTATCCAATATATATATATATATATATATATGATTTAGCAACGCTAACTTTGATAATGTTTACTGAAGTTAATAAAAAAACTATAGAATGCCACATTTTTTAGCTGCAGGGATTTTTATTTCATTTATTCATTTATTTGAGCGTTTATAGAATTTTAAGTAGTTTTGATTCCAAATAAATGAAGGACAGATTTTATTTCATACATTTTCAATTAAAATAACTGTATACAAAAAGAAGTAATAATTTTTTTCCCTGCCTAGAAAAATTGGAAAATAAAATTTCGCAAAGAAGAAACTATGCTCATTTTTCAAGCGCAACACTTCAGTAGAGTTAACTAAATAACGTAAAAGAATCGAGCTGTAAGATCAATACACATTTCAATAAAATTGAATTTTTAATATTTCTTCAAACCATTTCGAGCTTTTCTAACTCCAGTTAATATCGAACACTTTTCGGTGCAATTTTCTAGTGTCGCATATCCTATTTCTTCATTAAGATGTCTCTTTTTGAAGGGAATTTTTTTTTCTTCTCCCTTCTGTGGTAAATTAAAATAACATATTATTCAAATTCTGGATGACAAGAATTTTGAAATTCAAATGAGATATTCTGCTGTTTGATTTTATTCTGTTTCGAATTCTTTTTCCTTTTCTTTGCTTCAAAAAAATATTTGGAAAACTCGATTGTTAGAGAGATATCCGATTTCCGAAAGAACGAAACTACCATTTAGGAAACTAACATTTTACTATCTTTTTAATTATCATAATTATTTATTATCAAAAGAACTTATTAATATAAGGAAACCATTTTTACATGGTGAAAAAAATAATTTAAAAAAGAGAAAGAAACGGAAAATAAACAGATTTCATAGTCAAAGCATCAAATATGGAATCGAAACATTTATTTTTAAACTGGGCATCGAGTTCACATCAAAATATCACGCTGGGTATTGTTGAGAGACAAAATTATTATACATTATTAATAATAATTAATAATAATGAATTTTAAACGGGGCATAGTTGAGAGACAAAATGCATCTCAGATTTCAGGTCTCATCTTTAATATTTGCCGTTGCAACATCTTTTTTTTTAAATATACATATAAAAAATTGTATCACAATTACAATGCAATAAAAATGCATTAAAGACTTCGTTTTATAGTTTAATAGAACACTTTTTTTTTTGAACTACTACTGACGTTTGCAACATATTTAAAGCAATAAAATAAATGGAATAGTAATTCTGATAAATTATTTAATACTGTAGTTTTATTGCCTTTATTTTTTATTAATATAACCAACCATTTAATTTATTTATTTTGTTTAACCATATAAAAACTGGTTTGAATTATACTGGATAATTTTTCCAACATAAATTACGCAAAGACAAAGATATTTTTCAAAAATCTAAACACTAGCAAGTGTATTAGATTACTCATTTTTAAAACACTAATTGCAAAAATGTATCGGCGAAATTTCACCAGAAAAAATTCTGAAACATTCCCATTCCTCACTCTATATATTAGGTTTTATCTAATATATATCTCTAATATATCTATATATTAATACATACTATATATCTCTTCCATTCAGATAGGGCAGAGATCTTGTATTTTATACCTCGCATGTTTTGAAAAATAGGGAAAAGGGTGAGTAAATATCAATCAATAGCTTATTTTGGAAAAGTAAATATTTTTAAACAAAAGTATAATTAACGTTTTCCTCTTTTGTCCACACCCCTCTAACAAATGAACTGGTCTCTAAGGAAGTACTTTTTAAAATTTAAAATAGCAGTTTTTATTTTATGTTTATTTTATCACATTGTGCTGATTTCTACATAAATGTCTTTTTTTTAAACATTTGCGTCATAACTGCTAAAAAAAATCAGAGACTTCTTTTGTGCATTTAAAATGATTATCCAAGGAATTGCGTGTAAATAAATAACATGTTAATCTTGTTTTCAATCTCTTGGCGGCTGAACAATAAAAGTTAGTCCCAAACTAATCTCTTTTGAATTGCACCTAATCTCCTGCACGCCCGCAATTTGTTTCATACGCGCAATTGCCATTGTCCACTTAAAATCCTGAAAATGAATGGAAACTATTAATCCACTCCCTTTCCCACAATTCCCTTCTTAACATCTCCGTAAAAAACTCAACTTAACATTCCATCCCAATGTTCTTTAACAGATTTCCATCCCCAACTCATAATTCAGCGCTGTTGTTTGTTCAGCAGTTTCCTACATCCTACAAGCGAATCCAACATCAGCTACAATGGATCTACAGAGCTGGAAGCAGGCAACCGCTTATCCAAACAAGATCTCACCAAGCGGATTGAGTTGTTTTCCGATTCCTGATCTCCACTTGTCGTGTGTAAATCTCCCGATAATTCCTGCCGACAAAGAAGACCCATAATTTTCAACACCCAACTCTTTTATTTTATTTATTTTTTTTCCCTTTTTGCCAACAAAGTTCGAAAGAGGAAGACCACGTGCGGACACTTCCTATATGCGGCACCCTCCACAGCTGATGGGAATAATGCATTTGGTATGCTGTGGGTATATTCGTCTGTGATTAATTTCCGATGTCGTGGGATGGAAGAGGCACTAAGTCGGAATTTTTAAGAGGAATAACTGAGAAAAGTTAAATATTTCACACGAGATGGCTGCTCATCTTCAAAAAAATGTTGACGCCCTTTCAGTTAGAAATTACAGCCATATGTTTCCTATCATGCGATTTGTTCAACTCAAAATTCCCCCAATATTTTTTTTTATTAAAAGAACTGTAACTGAAATGAAATTACATTACCATTTATCTTGAATTTTTTTATTTCTATATTTCCGAATGGTGAAAAAAAGCATAGTCAAAACAACCAGGATATGGCAAAATTTATTGTGTTTCAGGTTATCCAAAAAGCTCGGTAATTTTTACCGAAGCGTTTTGTAATGATTATGGTAAAATCAACAATAAAATATGGTTTTATAGTATGTGATAAAATTTGGTAATCTTATAATGATATCTTAGAACATGCTATAAAATTCCGTTGAATTCACTTTTTAGTTTTGTATTTTTTAACAAATTGTGTGGTGATAAGAGCGATAATTTAAAAAGCCAGATTTTCTAGTAAACCGTTATATCAAAAAAATTACCAAACGAATGGTTTAAATACCATATATTTTGGTTTTATTAGCCAGAATTTTTTTCTTTAATTTAACTAAAAATATCTCAACTTTTAATTATTTATACTGGTAAAGTTTTCTTTAAAATAAAAAATAAAAAACAGATTCCGTACCTGTTATCCGTACTTTTTTATTTTATTTTATAATTTGAAACAAATATCACCCAATCCGAAAAGTCTAAAATTTCTTTTTTTTTTATGCAAAACAGAACTTATTTGGCATAAATTTTAAATTAAACACTTTAAATAATTACTTTATAAATTATAAAAATTTTAAAATAGAAATTACAGCTTTTGTCGTAAACAATGCAAATTTTGTTATATTATTCGTTTCAAATCAACAATTTTTAAAAAAATTGCTTTTCGCAGAGCAGAAATTATTAGACATAAATTTTAAATGAGATATTTTAAATAATTATTTTATAATTTATAACTATTTAAAAATAGAAATTACTACTTTCGTCGCATCAGTATAAATTTTATTACCTTATTCGTTTCCCAATAAAAAATATTAAATTTTTTCTCACAAAACGGAACTTGTTAGACATAAACTTTAAATAAAATACTTCAAATAATTCCTTTACAAATTTTAATTATTAAAAAATATAAATATTACTTTTGTCGTAAAAAATATAAATTATGTCATATTACTTGTAGTATTTAAAGTTTCATTTTTATAAGAGGCAAAACTTATTAGACGTGCATTTTGAATGATGCAATATTTTGCGGAATATCAGTTTGGTTCTGCAATATGTTATTTAAATTTTAGAACATTTATAATTGAAAAGATGAATGTAAATATTCATCCTAAATAAAGCCTTGATGGAAAAAAATATATACATCTATAACCAAAAAGCTCAGTGAATTATTTATCAAAGCGTTTCGGTAAGGATTTCTGAGCATTTTTGACGATAGCTCATAGAGCAAAGAACATGGTAAGTTTTACCATATTCTGGTCGTTTTGACCATACTTCTTTTTTTCTCAGTGAAATTTGATAGCTTCGATTTCTTGGAGTTTAATGATGTTCTTGCTAAAAGGTGTATTTTTTTTAAATTAAAAAAATCTCCGAAAAAACTTTTAAACTCAATTAAGTGCTTTTTATAACGCTCGTTACCTGCTAAAAATGCCGTGATCTTCAATTTTTATGCTTACAAATTTGGATTAGATGATGAAGAAAATTTGATATCTCACTGAGGAAAGTTAAGTTATAGCAAAGTATTTTTAGACTGATGAAAATGTTTTTCCAGATTTAAATTAAGCCCCCCCCCCAAATAAAACTAGAAAATATTAGCTAACCTAAATTATAGATCTTATATCCATCGTAAAATTAAAGAGCGAAAAGGAAAATCATTTTTTCCATTAAATATGCTGAATTGGATTAAAATCAAATTCAAATTGAGTTTGTAAAGGCATTAAAACTCAAAAATTAATTCACAAAAACAGTTGAAGTAAAGGAAAAGCTAAATGCAGTAAAAATAAAAAAATTAAATATAATTAGTTAATAACAAAATTTATAGAAAGAAATTTAGATGTAGATCCGTAAAAAAAAGGAAACAATAGCTAGGAAAATGCGTATAAAGATAAAAACAACAATATTAACAATAAAGCTAGTTCAGAAACCAAATGTTTTAACTTTATAAAAAAATGCTTGGCATATAGAGAAGTTATTTCCTTCTCTATATGAATACTATGATTATAAAGGGGGAAAAAGGCATAAAAAGTACATATACTTACGTTTTGGCGTTCCTCTATCTTCCGGTGTCGATCTTTCTATCGATCGGGATTCCTCGGAAAGATTCGGCGTTTCGGACATACGATCGGCTCCATCAGCCATCGAATCGCTATCACCCCGATCATCCTTGCCATCCAGAAAAGAGCCCACCGTTTGTCCTAAAGATGATCCTGTTGAATTTGCTGGACTCTGATGAAAACTGGATTCACTCCCACTTCCTGGAAAACAATTCCCCAAAAGCAGGGGCTGAGTTGCCCCACTAATATCACTACCTGGAGAATGACTGTCTAATTTCATACATTTTGCAGGCATAAAAGCCGAGCCATGAAATGGTCCATTCCTATCATCAGTAAGACCTGCCAGCGGGCGAAAAGCCCCTGCATTTAGATAACTACGCCCTAAGGCATGGCTGGCTAGTAATGCTGGATGATGAAGTGATTGAAGTGATAGTAAATGATAGGGATCTCCTTGCCCAAATAAGGGTCTTACAGGAAAAGCAGGATTGGGAAAAGGTACAGCTCCGGCGGTGGACACGATGCTTTCCTTTCCGCTTTCTATCCGTCCCCCGGTCGGGTGACGGGCGAAAGTGACGTGGCTTTGGGCGTGAGGTGTGACGTTTCCGCCGCAGGTAGAATTCAACACCATGACGGCTGGGTTGGTCATAGCATTCGGTAAATAGGCAGAATTTTCCAAGCATAATTCCTATAAAGAAAATACTAGTTGTTAATCTAAAATATTAAAGTAAAGATGAAAAACTGTATAAGTAGCAGATTAAAACAAAAAATAAAGTGTACGTTCAAAGTTTAGAAGTTAATACTGTCTACTTTATTGATCTAGAACAAAGCTTCGTAAGTGATGAGTATGCACAGTTAAGAGATAACCTGTTTGTACACGAAAATAAATTTGTGAAATAATATAGAGTTTCGGCAACTTAGTCGGCAGACTTTTATCATTTTTTCTTGAATTCAGGCTACAAAATTTGTAAAATTGTTTGTTAAAGTCTGTGAAAGCGTTATTGTGAAAATGATAAAACAAAATGGTTTCAGAAGTTTTGCTTGAATATCTCGTATCTTAATGAAAATATGTTTTGAAATCTCTTTTTTTTTTCAAGAAAGGGATGGAATCTCCATCACTTTTAATGGTGATTTTATCTCCTCAGTATTCCATAGAAAGAAAATTCCATCACAAATAATGATGGAATACGGCCGCAAAATTTTTCCATAAAATTTTTTTTTCGCGGCTGAAATCAGTGAACACCGTTATTGCGAAAATAAAACAAAAAGGCTGAAGAATTGTTTTCTGAATACCTCCTATCTTGATAAAAATAAGTATTGAAATATCTTTTCCTCCAAGAAAATGAGTACTTTCAATGGTGATGGAATCACCTCAGAATTCCATGGAAAGGAAATTCCATAACAAATAATGATGGAATCATCTCTACTCCGATTATATTTCAATTATTTTTACGACTGTTGTTCTGCACTTTAAAAAAAACTATCTATTAGCTGCGTTTTTATTTCAACGGAAAATGTTCGAAGAAACGAATAGAAAAGCTATATTAAATATTTGTAGATAAAATAATTTGATATTTATACGAAACAAATCCTCCTAATAAGACGGAAGTGTAAATGTACATAAAAATAAAAACTTATTTTGTTCTAGAGCAGAATTATAAGAAAGATGGCATGTTTCGGAGCTCAAAACTTACTGACCAGTCTTCCATTTCATTTCAACCAGGAAATAAAAAGTTTTATTTTTAAAAGTATTTTTGTGATGAGATAGTATCAATCATTAAAATTCCCTTTCCTTATTATTCTAAAGGTGTCTCCTTATAATTTATGCATAAGGATTATCACATATATAAGACTTCCTTGAGCAAAATATCACAAATACAAATCCTTAAGATTTCTAATTTATTTACATTCCTTTATCCTTTTATATAACATTAATGTATTTTCATTACGTGTTAAAAACGAAATCTAAAGTTTGTATTAAAAGTAAATACTGGTTAGAAATTTAACCTTTCTGTTGAAATAAATAAATATGTTCTAATAAAGTAAAAAAACAAGTTACATACAAATAAGCCATTTCATGAAGAAAAGTTGAAAGCTAAAGTTTGTTATTTTTCGAAACCTAGCTCAAGTTTATACAAGTATATTAAAAATGTAGATTCACTTAGACTATTTAATTCTAATGATTCAATGATTTAATGTTTATTTATTGATTTATTTTTTGGAATAACGACTTATAGTTTCAAATTTATAATAAAATTTGAAGATCTTACTTTTGGATACATATCGTGAACATAATAGTAGCTCTGAAAACTTGCGCTATGGGAATACAAAATTTGATCGTAGCTCGATTTCCGGAATTTAAATTTTTTTGTCTGCCCAGAAAACTACTCACGTTGTCGACAGTATCGCCGCAAGACGTAGTAGAGCCCTGGGAATCCGGAGTTCCAATTTCTGCGGAATGCCTCATTCATTGTTAGACTTTTGTGTAATTATTGAAATAAATTATAAGACTTTTATTTATTTATTTAGGTTTTTTTTTTGTTTTATTCCTAAAAACAAAAGATTTAACATTTCTTCTACTTATTTTATTTTAGTTTCAAACGTCTATCATTACTCAAATTTTATTAATGATTTATCAGGCACGGAACCAATAAAATAAAATTAAGAAATTTTTTCTTCAAAGGAAATAAATTATAACTAAAAATAGTATTTGATTTTCTAATTTAAGGGTTTTGGTTTCTGTGAATAACTCTCTTATCCCTTAATCACAGAATTTTTATTAAACATATTTTCCATACTTGTTCATTGTTCTGCATAAATTTAGATCAAAAGAAGTAAAAAATATTATATTTAGCATTTAAAAAATTCATGGTGATGAAATACTGTTTGAAACATTGGTGTCTTTTTCTGCACTGAAGTTTCTTCCGAAAACGGCTCACTTCTAAACAATAATTTTTCAAATTTGCGCTTATTTGCAATTATTTAGATCTAAGAGACACAGTTATCCATCACTATTTTTTTTTTTTTAAATTTGCAAAATCATTTATAGATAAATTATATAAATGAAAAAAAAATTCACACTTTTTTTTAGATTTTTACAACTATAATTCATATAATCAGATTTATTTTAGTAACTGTTTTTCATAATTAAAAAGTACTAATATATTTTTTTGTTTGTAATTAGAGCGTCAAAAAAATAATATGTAAAAGAGACACCAGTGTCCCATCGGTTATAAAGGGTTGCGCGGATAAATTAGAAATATTAGGTTGTTAAAAAAGTTCTGCAACACTTGCGAAGCTTTCAACTTTTATGAATTTGCATTTTGCGTTCTTAGTTTAAATTTTCATCAATAAGCTCTAAATGCCTTGATGATAAAACCGATCTTCGGATTTTGATTCGCTATTGCTATAAACGAGATCTTTCAGCAAGGGATACTGCATGGGTGTTGCAGAACTTTTTCAACAACCTAATATGATTACTACAGAATTCAAGTGTCCCAAAAGCTATGTGTGTAATTCTAATCGATAACAATTTTTTCAAACTTTCCAAACAAAAGGACTTTTTTTGAAAAAAATCTTAATTTTGCAAACATTGGAATAATATTTTAACTTAACTGGTTTAGTGGAGCAATTTCAGTATTGTGGGTTCTTGGACAAATGTTCAATATATTAAGGTTGCATTGGTTCGAAGCGATTTTCAAGAATACTGAATAGTGACATTATATATGGAATTTTTATAAAGGTAAAACAAGTTTTTCTATTGATATAATTTTATTTGTTATTGAACATTTTTTTGTTACACTTATGAATACAAAAGGAAATGCTCGCAGTTCAGATAAATAATATAGTTGGGCATGAAGTAAAACTTATTTAAATTTCCTTTGTCTTAGCTTTAAAAGTCTAGGTTTTAAAAGTTAAGTTTCATGGTTTCTGTGACGAATAATCTTAACGTAAATTATTTAAAAAGTTAAGAATATTTATTACTCCCCTTATTTTGTTTCACAATTATTTCAATTTCGTCAATTCATGCAACTATTTATTCATTTCAATTGCGAAAAAAAAAATATTTTTAAAAGAAACTGAATATTTTGATAAGTTTAAGTTGGGAATTTAATGATCAAGAATTCCTCGTTAATAAATTTTACTGCGTAAGATGTTATGCATAATTTTCATCACAGTGTGCACGTTTTAAATAAACATGCATACTCTGAAAATAAGAAATAAGTTATTAAAGAAGGTGCATTGAGTATTCATTGAGTAGGTATATTGAGAAGTACAAAAATTGAGTATTCATAACGATAATGACATTAAGAACAGCATCCACTTTTAGATTTCAACATTGCAAACTAACTTTAAAATCAAATTTTGCTTAGCTGAAAATTATGAAGCACCAGAGAAAAATTTCTTAATATATAAATTACAGTTACTGAAAAATATTAAAACCAAGATGGTGATTTTTATTCATAAGTCTAAAATTCTAAACTAATTATTGTTAATTTTAAATAGTTCAACCTGCATTCAGTTGCACTCTGCATTTTGATGCAAAGTATTTTTGACTTTTGCAATATCTGTATATGATTAATAATTAGTTTAATTTCGAGAATAAATTTAAACGTGTCTAGTACACATTTCCGATATGATCAATATCAGGCAACTGTTAATTGTATTGACCTACTGAGCCCGGACGCTGTTTTATTTCCTACTATAAAATACTCTAAATATTCAACTATTTTAAAGAAAGATGATTAAAACAATAACTAATATCCATAACTTTTCAGATTTATGTTTTTACTTATTATTTTGAATTGCGTAAATTGGAAAAATTCGTTTTAAGTAGTAGCATTTAAATAAAAAAATTTGGCTTACAATTGTTTTATGTAAAATAAGGTAAAAAAAAAAAAATTCTTCAAGCAATGTATCCAAATGTATTATTCACTGCAAAAATATTTGTGATTGTTGAGTAGTAATATGACGCAAAATTTCTGCTACTTTAATTAGGTTATATATTTAAATCGTATTATATATTTAAATCGTATTATAATGTAAAATTCTTCTGACACTGAATTTCAGAGTATTATAGTTAAAACGGAACGGGAATATGATAAGCTTAATTAGAATTACAACTGATCAATATTATGGCTGGATCTTCATGTTAACAAATTTTACGATTTTTCTCATAAACTGACTTCCAAGATAATTATTTTTAAGAAAGTAATTATAACTTTTTAATTACTTAAAATCATTTATAAGTTCTTTTCCTTTCAAAGACATTCTTTATTTAATTGAGATGAGTAACTAAAAAAATTTTTATGCAGCAGTTACTCTTTGCAAAAGAAAAAACTGGGGGAGAAAATAGAGCACTTAGTGCAATTTGAAATGGATTGGAAATGCATCATCTTTTTTTCCCCCCTCTTCTAGTGACTCTGAATTCCCTTTTCCTTAATTTAAAGAGCCATGAAATAAATGATTCTAAAATCTTTTGTATCGTTTTAAAAAATCTAGGTTTAACATAACAAAAGGTAGATGGTAAATGTTTTGAATAGGCAGGGAAGTTTTGAAGTACTTTCTGTTTAACCCTCTCGATCTCAATTTACCTCTTTTCCTTTAGGGATCTTTTTTCTTGGAGGGGAAAAAAAATACAATTGAATTTGAAGTTCTAAAAAACTGTAGATTACTTAATTAGGTAATACTTATTTTTGTAACTTATCGTTTAAAAAAAAATCGAATTCTATTTCTTGAATTTTCAATTATTTGTTCAATAGATAATTACAAAATTAGTATCAATTTCAAATTTTAAAAATAAATAATTAAAAAAAAATGCAGGAATGTCATCTCGTTAATGAATAAAGTTATTTTAATTTATATGATAACTAAATAACATGTCCAATTCAGTTTTTTATTAGTTCCTAAATTCATTTAGAGAAATTTAAAGTTTGATAATTTTTAATAATATTATGTATTTTATCAGTAATTGTACGCATTATTGTTGGCAACATAGAAATTTATCAATATAAATCAAAATATGTATATATATATCACAATAAATTTACTTTAATCTATCGCAAAGATTCGACAATTCAAAACATTTTACTATAATTGTCTCATAATTACGTTAATCGCAAAGTTATCTCAACAACTCATTGCTTCTTACTGCAACTGTCTTAGATTATAATTAATTTCTTTTAAGTTATCACAAAGTTACACAGACCAATTCATTACATTTTATCACAATCGTCTTACAACCAATTTACTTTAATCTATCACAAAGTTATCTCAACAAATCTATGCTTTTTACTGCAACTGTCTAAAAATTAATTTACTTCAATCTATCACGAAGTTATACTCAACAATTCATTAAACTTAATTAAAAAAATTTCACATTGCTATAAATCTACTTAAATCTAACTCGAAGAAATCTATCACAATTACTCAACAATTTATTACATTCTATTACAATTATCTAGTTCTTAATTTTTAAATAAAGTAATATTATAAACTTCTCAAACATTCATGGTTGACACACCGACCTCCTACCTCTTTTTTGCTGATTTTCTTACCCTCATAGGCTGCTATCTTCAGCATTTTTCATAACGTCAATAGTCATAGAAATCATTATGAATCATTATTATCAAATTATGAATCATTTCTTCAGGTACACATTAAAGAACCACCCTTACTTCTCTCCCACACTAATTGCCTCTGCATTCAACCATACTATCCATACCTTATGCCATAGTACCCATTAAATTTTCTGCAAACTTACTGTGGTAAATTAATCCATTATTTTTTTCACGTCGAACTACAGTATCTTGATTTCAAGTTTAAGAAGGATTATATTGCACGGCGACATGTTTCAACAACGCTAATATCAAATCACTTCAACTGTCAAATTTAAACCATACTATGGTTCAATTTTTATTTCTAGTCTAAAAAATCTCTAAATTGGTGTTATGACCAAAAAGTTATCCAAAAACAATTCAGCTGAAGAGTATTAGTTAATTGAATGAAGTTTACTTGTATATCTTGCTTACAGCGCGCGTAACATGTAATAAAATCAAGTTTTATATTAAAAGAATGGGATAATTAAAAGAGCTGCCCTTTCTAACAGATATTGTCTATATGTCTTGCTCATCAATATGCATAATAAAACAAATTTTATAACCAAAAATTAAAATAATCTCACATAATGAAATTTCTTTAATGCAATTTATAAATCTGGGTTTGAAAACTGCATGTGAGTAAACAGCTATATAATATAAAAGGTGCACAAATAAGTGCCATTGCAAAAATTCAATGTAAGTATTAAACAAAAATTACAAAAATTAAATCTGGTAAGTATAATGCCGGCAATTCATCAATTATGCATTGTTATAAATATAATTTAAGTTCAAATATTGATATGCTATAAATATTTAACTGTAAATTTCTATGAAATTAAATTATTTCTGTGAAAATTGATAATTTTAAAATTCTTGACAAAAAATATATAATTTTTTAATTGCAACTTCAATTTTTATGCTTTCTGTATTTGTCTTTTGTAAATAATATTGTTAGTAGTATGATGCAAGGTAAACGATTAGTCAATTGATAAAAATATTATTATGCCGAAGTAAACTAAACATATATCCAATTATTTAAAAATTAAATATCTATTTCATTGAATCTTTTCTCAGTAAATTAAAGCCTTTTGCTCTGTAATCAATTTTGAGGGAAAATCTAATTATATAGTTTTTCTTTTATAACTATTACATGAATATCCAAAAACAGACATTAATCTGCATCCAAAAACGGAAGTCAGAAACAGAAAGTTTACTTCGAAATTCAAATCTTCTATGCTTACTTTGGCTTCAAAAGTTATGCATTATGATTTCCTTGTCGCCAACTTGTTTGAAATCTCCATCAATTACTGTAACCTGGGTAACAATAATTGATAGCTCACTAGCCAATTCATAGATTCCTTACTCTACTTGTTTTAGCTACTACTGCACAAAAGGATTTGATACCGGAAGGATATATATATATATATGTATATACATATACACTATTTAGTTCCTTAGACTGGCACTTTCTTTTTTATTTATGTTCAGTTTTAAAATTTTATTTTGATGAGATATCAGTTTTGATCCTCTATCAGTTTTCTAAAAATGATTGGCCTTTTATTTTTAGAATTCTAAATTGCTGCTTATTTTTTCCTAAAATAAAGAGTTATTTATATCTGCCTCACTTTTTAAATAGTTTAACATTTTTAACAAACTCTAATATCCGATAAAACAATCTGTATTTTATAAGCAAGTTTTCATGATTCACAATTCAAATTAACTTATTTTCTGTCTTTTAAACTTGAATGACAAGTATATCTTCTTCATAAATTAAATTTCTACTTAAATCTAGATTTAAAAAAAATCTTTCCACAAAGTTGAACTTGCATTTTACATTGACACCAATTTCTATAATAAATACATAAAAAAATAATTAAGAACAAAACTTTTTTTATTTGCTTTTGCTCGTTCATAATTTTGAGAAAGAATAAAGTTCTGCGCTATGATAAGGCAAGTTAATCACTAACTGTTATACCAGACATTATTTAACTGTAAGAAGTTATTTAAATAATTTTTATATGATCTTCAAAAATTATAAGTGAACATCTTGAAAAAAGTAAAAGAAAAGTATGCAAATCTTTAAAAAAATATTCTTACCTGTTGCTTTAAAGTATAACGAAACCTTATAAGTAATCTTTAATAACTATTTGTTCTTATCATTTAATTCATTTTAATAATACATTGCGCATAGTTGTAAGATAAATCAAAGAACTATATTATTAACTACATTATGATACATTACTCAGTGCATAAACTACGTTGTAAGCATTGTGATAATAAGAGTTTTCCATTAAAATTTCTTCGTAGAAATTATGCTAGCCCCATTTGGGATTTTGTAGAACAAAATGATTGTTTGATAATAGAAAAAAAAAATTTAGACTCATTTGGCAAATATAATGGCTTTGTGTCACGATGATATTCCCCATGATTAAACAACTGTGTTAATATTTATTTACTTATTTATCTTTTTACGTAAATTATGAGAAGAGTAATTTCTAGTTTTCACTTAGTACGGAGACACTACTTTGGGTTATGTTAAAAAAAATCCATGTTTTTTAAAAAAAAAAAAAATATTTACAGACATAGATAAAAATGATGGATCATGTATCATCAAATTGAGATGATACATGATCCAAAATTGAATTGAACTGAAAGCTTATTTTCAGTGGTTTAATCAGTAAGATACAGGTTGATACTCGTCCATTCTAAAAATCAACACGCTTGTTTCATATGGTTGAAAGCGCAATCACCTAATAATGATTTGTCGATTAATTTAGACTGATTTCCTTCATTATTATTTTTTTCTATAGTTCTACAAGTCATGCTATAAGCAATTTTTATGGTAGTACATAAAACGATCAAATATTTTATATTTAAACAAAATTTGAAATAAGATAAAATAAAAATGCTCTGTATGAAATGTTTCAATTTCTTTTTTTTTTTTATTCACTATAAATATATGTGCAGTATGGAACAGTTTAATCAAAATATTGAATGAAAATAAACTTTCAGTCATGATCTATCCGGTAAAAAATATTGAACAATCATATTGAAAAACATGATTGTTTGCAATAAGATAATTTCATTAAAAATGATAATAAAATTATGAAAAAAATTCGTTTCGCATTAAACAGCAAATTTTTATTTATTAAAGATTTAAAAATATTATTTATCGAACATTTCTATCTTACAGTTACTAAAAACTAGAAAAATTATTGACTGGAAGAAAAAGATTCAATTGGTTTAATAAATTTATATATATTTTTAAATTAAGAAAGAGATCCATAGTAAATATTTTCATAATAGACATTTCTTGGACAAAGGTATATCTTTTGTTAGGAAAAATGAAGAGTTTTGTTATTAAAGCTAAATATAAATAAATTTCTGAGTTTTTCAACGTTTTTTTACTTGAATTATCACCAAATATCCTTCAATTATTATCTAATGAATATGATAAAATAAATAAATATTTTACTGTTATGTTATTTGCCCCGAAAAGAACTTAATTGGAATCCTTCTATTCCAATGGAAATTTCCAATTATCATATTACAATTACTAATTACAAAAATTGCTCAATTAAATAAATTGTAATAAATTAAATTTTTTTTATTGAAAAAGAACATTTGTCATAGCCTTCTGTTTATTTGAGATTATGGAGAACAAAATAAATTGCGTCATAAAAATTTAAATTCCCTTATTAATGCTAATTAACAAATGCTTTATCATGGAACAACACTTTGTTACTAGTAAGTTACTAGTTACTAATTAACAAATACTAGTTAGATCAAAATAATCATAGTAAAGCTTCTAAACATTTACTTCTTCAAATTTTATGTATTTGATAAATTTCGTCACATTCACTATCTATTTAACACTTAAAATGCTTCGTCTATTTAGGAATAAAATCAAAATTCTTCCTATATTTTTTGAATTGATCTAGAACAATTAATTTAGAAATATTGAGAAATTAATTAAGTATTGAAAAAGCTGACGTACCTGAAAAGATGGGAACTTTAAAGCTTGTGGAAATAGTCCTGTCCTACTACGAAATCTATCGTGGCTACTCATTACTGTAAATCTTATTCAATTTCAACAATGTTTTCTTTGCTTTTATATATCAATGTATTTATGCAATCACAGATTAATTAGTCCATATGATTTATTCCTCTTCAATATAAACTAATTCAAATGTCACTTTCTATTAATAGCAATTTGGCTTAACTAAAAAATTATCAATCACTAAAACCTCCATAGCAGTAAACAAAAATTTAAAAAACAAGCAACTATTTGGATACAAAAGTCCCATAGTTGTTTACAGTGTTGACTAAGCTATGCCTCCTCTGCCGACTTCTCCTACCAACTGACTGCTACTTTCCTAGAACTAGACTACCCCCACCGTACTAGGGGATTGAAAATCCAATTATACTCTTCACAGTGGGGTTATCGTAGGGGGAAAGGGGGGTTTTCTCCTACCCTCAGTTCTCAATACTCTACTTCCCCAAACTATTCTCCACTCTGTTCATCGTGACGATCCCAGCATCTTCCTCATCTCTCCCCCCCCCCTGCATCAGAGTCCCAACCAAGTGATCTGTAGCTCTCTCATTGGCTAGCCGTACTAGTCTTTCTTTGGTGGTAGTAAAGTTGAGGGAGAGAAAATGATTGGTTAAAGAACAGAATGATAGGCGTGGTTTGAGAACACATCCTCTAAGGTTCGAGTTGTAGAAGTGCATCGTCCACCCCTGAAGGTGGGACTAAGTCTTGAGATGTAAGAGTTTATAGAGGGTTAAGTGGGGAAAAGTTCTTGTCAAGAGAAGTCAAGTTAGCCATCTATTAAGGTTATTAGAGAGTGTTAAATGGACACGCTTTTGAGCTGTCGGACGGAGTTCGAATTATTTTTTTCCCCTTTGTGGCTTTTATGGGAATGTTTCCTTCTAGTTAATCTGTCAACTAAGAAGGATGTGTAACATGTGTAGAGGGAAAAGTGTTCATGGTCACCTTTTTTTCCCCCTCCTTCGTACTGTATACATTCCTCCTTGTATACATTTCATTTGCTGGTGTCGAAGAAACGTTGTAGAACATTAACAGGTTTTCTTTTCACAACTGCAGGAATTGTATACTGTATTATTTTTAACATTTTAAATTTACAGTTTTTAAGTCTTTTTGCAACTTTCAATATCTTTCAATATCTTCAACTAATCAGTTTTTTTAATTACTGATTGGTGAAGGTTTTCACTAAGAATATATTATGAAGTCAATATTATGAAAACTTTTCAACGAAGCTATAGAAGTCTGTGTAATAGATGGTGTTTCGTAATGACTACCCTCAATACATGTTTTTAGAATTCATGTCAAAAATGAAGGCAAAGCAGTGCACACATTGGTTGTTGCAAACTAGTATTTAAGTGAGTAAGAAAGCAGAAACGGAATAGAAATCTGTCATATAACCAGTGAGGGAAGCGGAATGAAAAATATCAACATCAGTTAGATTCAATCAAAATCACATACAACATGGGGTAAAATCCAATAAGATGTATGTTTTAATTTCAGTCTTCGACAGCTTTCTGTTATTTTTTTTTCTTTTAAATATTAATTTATGACCCATACTTTAGTATTTTATCGTCACCAATTTGGAGAAGGATTCTGAAAAATAAATATTAAGAATTGTCAATACTACTATATATTTATTTAGTTTCATTACACGTAATGACCTCTCGATTCACGTATGTTATGATATCTCTATCCTCTTTGTTTCTGACCCTCGTAATTCTAGTTCTAATCTCAAAATGAAGGAGAACTAGCTTTTATATTTTTATAGCTTACATTTACGTTACACAAAGAACAAAACCATGAAAACATCTTATTAGTTTTGTTACAGCGGTAGGTAAAGCCAATGTTCGAACAGCCACAAGAATGAATTAAGACTCTCTGCGACTTTCACACGAAACCTATTTCTAATATATATATATATATATATACACGTCAACTCTACGGGGTTCTCAAAGATCAGATTTGTTGCGACAATCCTAAGAAAAGATATATTTAATTAACAATAAAAACATCTCAGCCAATTGAATTTTCAACAATAAATTCCAGAATATTAAATAAATCAATAAAATATAAAATTAAATAATAACGAATCTCTAATCTGCAGTAATTTAGATTTTAGCCAATTAAAACTGGCCCTGACTTTTTATTAGTTGCTCCACAACTATTTCTAGCTATGCTATCATAATCAATAAAAATTAAAATACCGTTTTCTTTTTCTTTTCTTTTTTTAAATAATTTCTTCTCATATAAATATTGATTTTCGGCCAATCGATGTGTGTTTTTATGTCTTAATTTTTGACAGGGATTTTAAAAAAATGTGCAAAATGTATTGCTTTTAGTATTTAATTTTGGTATCATTTTGATTGGTAAATTTGAAATAATAAACAAACAATCATTTGAGAAAAAAAAAACTTGATATTTATGTTTAAAAACGCTATTACAATCTGAGTAATGATAATCGTAATTAATCATCCTTTTCTTAAATGATCTCTGATAAGCATTCACAATAATTTTGTTTTTTAATCACTTATATAAAATAGGTCTTTCATGCAAAAGCAAATAAATGAGCAATCAATGATTGATAATGAATATCATCTATTATTGCACAAAATGCACTTTATTACAAAATGCACATGCATATTTATTAATGCACTTAAACGCAAAAATGTATCAATAATTGATTTTGTAAGTTAAAAAAATTTCTATGGTGAATAACTGTTTCTCTTAGATCTAAATAACTACAAATAAGTGCGAACTTGAAAAATTATTGTATGACTGTGAGCTGTGTATGGAAATTTTTATCTAAAACGCAGAACAAGACACCGGTGTCTTGCTAGACATTGTTCAAGTGCTAAATATAATGTTTTTCACTTATTTTGATCTAAATTAATACAAAATAATGAAAAAAGTATGAAAAATTTGTTTAAAGAAAATTCTGCATCAAAGGGTTAAATGATAATAAACTTCGATAAATTTTAGTATATAGTGGAAATATGGCCCAGATATAACCGAATACAAAAAGATTTTTCGATGAACGAATAAAACTGGGATGAACGCGAATTGATTTTTAACTAATTAAAACGTATTTTTCAGTCAAAATGAGTCTGACTAGCGACTTAATCATTACACGACTGAAGAATAAATAAAAAAAATTTGAAAACTTTGAAAGAAATTTTTTTATCAAAATTGCTTTAAAAAGCATTGTTGGAAGGAAATTTTTCATTTACTTCTTGCAATTAATGTCTAAAAGCTTGTGTTGTATGATTTTTTTTTTTTTACAGACTTTTATACTCACCAGAAAATGACTGCCGTTGAAAAAGTTCTGTGTCGAACCCATTGCATAAATTCAAAACTAAATTTGATCAAAGCTGATATTTATGAAACTTTATAAAGCAAAAAATGTACCAAAATAACTACTTTTTGCAGTTTAAAATTCTAGTATTAAAAATTATAGCATAACAAAAAAATTGTTTATTAGCGAAGCATTGCTATAAAATAATCAGTGATGTAAGAAATTTAAATATTCTGAACTTTGTACATTCCATACATTTTTTGAAGCTTTTTGTGCTCCGAATGCTATTTTCATTCCATTTTTTTTCTGGTGTTATATCATTTAATGAGCTATAAAAATCTGGTCACGAATTTGTGCGAGGCGTAAACGAAAAAGAAATCAAAAGCGTAAACAGGAAAAGTTTTTAATTTTTTGAAATAACTGATAAGATATGCTTTATCAATATATGAAACTTTTTATTACTTTAATTTTTAAAAATGGGACCGTGATGGCCTGGTTGGTAGGGTGCTGGACTCACGTTCGTGAGACCGGAAGTTCTCATGGAATTCCCGGAGATTCTCTGGTTCAGGTCAAAATTTGGATCTGTGGATGATTGAATGTATGTATGGATGGGTCTACCCTATAAACGGGTGTGACGTATCCGTGTGGCAGAAATCGAATTCTTGGCCATAGATGGCGCCACTGGAACAATTTCACCCCTACGCCTAAATGGGCTACGTCAACAATTTTTAGAACTGGATATTTTTTTCCCTTTATTTCTTTTAAAGGAATTTTTTTAATCAAAATTGAGAGCAAAATTTTTAATTTTGAAAACAAATTAAAATATCCAAAATACAAATAAATATAAAAAATGAAATATAAAATATTCTAGTTTTTGTGTAGGGTATTTTGACATATACCGTTTTAATGTTGAAAGAATGTGAAGAAAGGAAGAAAAAAAAAGATCAAAAAGAAAAAAAAATGCTTACTTACAGTTCAATGGGAAGAAAAAAATCTTCTCTCTTGTTCGTAAATTTTTTCCCGGAATAATATTTTTTTTTTTTTTTTTTTACCATATTTAAGGAAAACCAATAGTATTATTATTTATTTAAATAATAAATTAAATCCACAAATTTTAAAAATTACGTAGGCATCTAATGGTTGATTCGAATGGGGGTTTCCGATTTACCTATTTTTTTTATAAGGCATGAAGGAAGGGTATGAGCAAAACTTTCGTAAAGTAAAAAAAAGCATTATTTTCGCTTTTAAAATAAAAGTTAAATTTGGAAAGATTACTCTTTCCATTACTCCTTTCAAGTTGAAAACAAATTTCTTAAAGCAATTTCAAAATTTCATTCTTTAAAAATGCATATATTGTTCGGAATATTTTTTTTATTGTTTCACCATACACAAAGTATAAATAAGTACTCACAAATCTTCTGTAACCTACTTTCTTCAGAAACAAAAATTATAACAATGATAGTACTAATTTTCAAATTAACTTCAGTATATATATTTCATTTTGGTTTATTTAGAATAAAAAGGAAAAATCCTCATATTTTTAATTTGTGTTCTGCAGTTTTTCCCATTAGAGTTTTAAAAAAAAATTCTGAAATTAAATTTTTAAATTTTTGATTTCTCAATTATGGCCAAACATTGTAAACTTATAAAAACTTTAGACATAAATCTTGGCCCAATATTGAAAATCATTCTAGGAACAAAATCGCATTATGTTAACTTCCCAATATTTAGACTCTAGTGCAATCCTATAAGGATTCTATATAGAAATGAATCTATATAGCCAGACTGCTTTAATTCATTAGGGCGAAATCGGGACATCCCAATATTAAACCTTCATTGCACGTCTAGAATAAATTTTTATTTAGCAAATTTTGTCGTAGGTTCTAACTGAGGCAAAAACATCCTTTTTTTAAATCCCTTCAAAGATAAGTGCATACTAATTTTAAGTAATAATAAAAACTTACATTTTTTTGTAAGATTGCCCTTTAAAATTATTCTGTCAAGTCTTGGAAAAATTCAGTTTTCAATAAAAAATTGTCCTCTTCTAAATAGTTTTTGGTGTTCCTAAACATTCTATAATTAATTTTCTCATTTTTTCTAAAATAACGCTTAACAGTGGGTCCAAAATTTAGTTTATTGATGAATGTTAATAATGAATTAAAGTCAGATTAAAATTGGAAAAT